TATACATAGTTTATGAACTATGGCGTTCGGGTTTTTTACTGGGTCAGTGCTGAAGCACAGAATCAATGGTGGGTTCAGTTAAGAACAAGGCACCATATATACTTTTGATTTGGAAGAGTACAAATATGTGCGTCGGTTCATAGTTACATGGCTCTGAGATTGAATTAACTATAACAATGCAAATTCTTGATGAACAAGATCATTATAATTTGTGTAACCATACAAATAACCAGTGATTTATCATTTATAGATAGTAATTATATAAACCATAAACATAAGCATGTTTGAGAGTCTCGAGAAGCAAGGAAAAATCCCCAAAATCATATGATTCATACAACAAAAAACAAAAAAAATCATAATCTAACTTGACATATAACTGACTTTCATGAACTTCATGGTATAAGCATGCCGTCTAAAAGATAAAAGACGTGAGAGTGAACTCAAAGCTAGCCTCGGTGGTTATTACAAATCCGTACACAGTTTTTGACAAGTCGTGTAGAAAATGAAGGCAGTAGTACATGCAACTGCTGTGACTAAAAGATGATAAGCTCTCAATTCTCATTCTCATTAAATAGGCAGAAGGACAAATGACTTGTTTAAATGACCGTCTAAACACGTGCAAATTTTAGTAAAACACATCTTAAACTGGACGAATTCTGGATTATCACTGTAAACTGAAAAATTCAGCGAGGTCGTCATTTGCTCCGAGCCTTTTGAGTTGCAATACTTAGCAAATACACAAAACTATATAACATCAGAGACTCACTTTCAGCAGTTCACTGTAAAACTTCACACTAAGTCATCTCAACTCAAGCATTCATATCTGATGTGTTTACGTGTTCCAATACCATCAAAGAAAGATCTCCAGCAAATAGACAGCATATATAAACCGGAATATAAAATCCCAATAACACACAAATATGGAACGGACTCTCTTCATTCATAGTTCAAATCAGTCAGAAACTACATCATCCATAGACGATTATATTACAGAGCATAACATACAAAGACATAACATTAGCGAATTCACGAGTAGTAACTCTAATTCTTAGCATCAGCCGGGTTATCATCACCCACTACTACCTTGATCTTTTCATACCTGAAATCAGCCGAACCCATGTTGCACTTTCGCGGAATGGTCAACACAGTCTCCGAACTGTTTTCATACAAAGCCCACAAGAAAAGCACAACTAAAGCAAGCAAAGCCGCACATCCCGTCACAAAAACCAATGCAGAAAGGAAGCCTAAAGCGCAAATCCTTTTCTTTTGGGTCAATTTATCCTCACTGCCCTTGCCCGAAAATTCCCTCGGGTCAAGCGGTTTAGAGTGCATCCACTTTGGCACAGTCCTCGTCTTGAAATTCCACGAATACACGCTGCTAACCTGCATCGACTTTCCACTAGACGAGCCCAATCCCACTAGCACTTCTTGGTTTCCCCACATTCGG